CAAGGAGCAGATCATTCGTGACCTCACGACTGTCCTGGAGGTCCCACAGGGAGAACACGGTTCGGCATCACTACATGGACAAAGGAATCAAGTTTGTCATCAAGAATTGGCGACCCGAAGACCTACGCAGAGACGAGGATGGACGGAGAATGAGGGTGTGCCCGGCATGCTACAACATTGTTCCAGCATGTTTCTCCCGATGCACGTCTTGCTGGTCACAGTTTATTTCAAGCGGATATTACCAAGGTTCTCCACAACGGGATACTCCTACGGAGATCCCCAGTGACTTCATTGCTCAGACAATGGAAGCCGCAGCAGCCGCAGTGCCTGAGGCGCCCGAAGAGGAGCAGGAAGCCATGGAGGTAGAGACCGTTGCGGAACCTGAAGAAATCCCAGAACCATCTGTCATCGCGGAAGACGATCCAGAACAGGAACCTGATGAAGAAATGGACGTAGAGCCTGGAGAGGACTTTGATGACGCAGTTCCAGAAGCAATCGCACAGGAACGTCGTCCCGTCTTCATTACCGGCCAGTCTTTGAACATCGATCCTGAGCTACAACTTGCACGTACCGCCATGCAGCCATCTTACTATTCTGGAAAGCGAAATGCCCATTGCATTGACGCGAACATGACCGCTCTGTCGTACATGGCATACGTGGTATGCCGATCCATCTACAAAGCTTGGTCAGGATTCGCAAAGTGGGCGACTATGCCGTTGTTTCAGATGAGGGAAAGTTTCGCACTTGGCCAACGCTATGATGTGCTTGGAAAGTGGGGATCTTTGGCAGCAGTGGATAAGGAAACAGGTGTGAGCAGGGACGTGACTGATGAGGAGATCATTCGCTTTGCAAAGGAACCTGAGAACCTCAAACAGTATGATCCCAACGGGACTTACACCTTGAAGCGCTTCCGGACGAACCAGATGCTTTCTTTACTTGTACGGGGAGCCAACATGATGGGAATTGGCAGGGACAACTTCAGCCCTACTACTTACTTGAAGAGCGACAGGGATGAAGATGTAAAGGCAATGCACTTTTGTTGCCTGAACGTCCTATGCGAGGTGATCCCAATGGTGACGGGACACCAACAATTCTCAGTGCTACGACCAACGCCAACTGGAACAGTGGACTTCTTGTACATCGACCCCGTCGGTATTCTGCTGACTCATTCTGATCAGTCAGTCCAGACCATCGCCTTGCTAGTGGACCACAGCGTTCAAATGCCTGCGCATTTCATGGACAGACTGAATAGATCCAAGACTGAGAGACAGCAAAACCCGACGACAAGGCGTACAGAGGCCCTACATCACATTTCGGCCGCTGACTATCTTCCTCCAGGTGGTACTTCCATCCTGGACACGCCTGTTACTACGGAGGAACGTGAAAGCGCTTCTTCATCCAAGGGACCTTCAAAGGGGCGTGGAAGAACCGGAGGCGAGCAACATGGTGGCTGGAACACCAATTCCTACCACGATTACATCGCCGCCAAAGGGCGAAACAAAGGCAAGGACAAGGGAAAGCCAAGGAACCCATATCCAGAGGAGAACCTCCGGCCCTGGGAACGCGATCCTACGTCAACGCGAAGATGGTGGCGAGACAACGCCTGATCTTCCTCGCCTATCAGTTCGTGACCTCTGAGCTTCGCCCGTGGAATGCCATCGCGAATGCTTCTTTCTTCGGTGACGCCTGATTCGTTTGTCATTTCAGGGGATCGTTACTGACGTAGATGAGTGTCACAACGTTTCTAATTGGGATACAAAGCTCTGATTTTCAATGTCAACGTTGCGGCGGAATTTTCTTCTGTCCTATCGTGCCATCTTCCGGGTGAGCAGCGTCGGAGACGCAACTCATGGGGGGTGCGAACGGACTGCGATGCCTTGTCAAGTTCTAAGGTGTCACTATAAGAGCTGTGAGCAAGACCGTGTAAAGTGCAAGAGAAGGGGGCACGCTACGCGTCCCTCGACTCTAGGGGGCATGCTACGCATCCCTCATCTTTACCTTTCTATGTGACCGCCAACGCAACGTTTGGCTCAAGTCAATGCCCATAGCTAAGTGCTATATGTGTCTTCTATCCTGAGCAATCAGAGCTATCCCGTTGCACAGACGAACCGCCGCCGGCAGTGAGTGCAAAAGGAACGGCCGCCGGTTCTGCCTGCATAGGATCGCACGTGTGGAAGTAAGAGGGAGAGACAGGGTCCAGTCTGTGGAGAGTGCTAGCCAGCCACACCTACATTCATTACAGCTCTGGTGGGGAGAGCAGCAACCAAGTCGAGATCAATCCCCCACGCAGTTTAAAATACAAGATAAACCGGAATCGCCAAAGGGTGAGGGGGGGGGGGCGTGTTCAAGGTATATGATAGCCGGAATCGCCCAATGCGGGGGGCGGAGGGAGGGGTGGGGGGTGTTTAACACATATCATATGATGAATCCCACTGGTCTGGCGTGTTTTGGTATATGATAACCGGAATCGCCAAATGAGGGGCGTGTTTAAATAGATATGATAAACCGGAACCGCCCAATGGGGAGGGGCGTGTTTAAGATATGATGAACCCCACTGGCCTGGTGTGTTTAAGGTATGTGCTAACAGCAATCGCCAAATGAGGGGGCGTGTTCAAGATATGTGATGAACCGGAATCTCTCAATGGGGATCCTTGTTTAAAAGCTTAAGGTATATGATGCACCGGAGTCGCCCAATGAAGGGGCGTGTTCAAGATAAGGGGACGCGTATAAAGATATATGATGAACCGGAATCAGCCCCGTTGGGAAACAAACCACGGGTGGTTTTGATGATGATATGATGAAACGCGATTGCCAAATGAGGGGCTTGCGTGTTTAAACTACATGATAAACCGGAAGCGCTCAATGGGGGGGGGCATTAAGATATACAATGAGCTCCACTGGACTGGCATGTTTAAGGTACATGATAACTAGAATCGCCAACGGAGGGGGGGTGTTCAAATAAATCAGTACATGTGTATCATGTGTATGTGTATATATATGTATATATATATATATATGAATGAAAACCCGGAATTGCCCCAGTGGGGGGGGTCGTGTTTAAGATATATGATGAACCCCACTGGTCTGGCGTGTTTAAGGAATTGATAACCGGAATCGCCAAGTGGGGAGGCGTGTTGAAGATATACGATGAACCGGAATCTCCAATGGGGATCCTTGTTTCAGATATATGATGCACCGGAATCTCCAAAAGAAGGGCGTTTTAAGATGACATGCTGAGCCGCAATCCCCAAATTTCAAATGATGGGACGCATAAAGATGTGTGATGACCCGGAATCAGCCCCATTGGGGCAAGTTAAAGGGTTTGGCCAAACCACGGGCGGTGTTTAAGATGATATGATGAAACTGAATCGCCAAATGAGGGGCGTATTTCAAAACAGGATAAACTGGAATCGCCCAAGGGGGGGGGGTGGGCGGGGCGTGTTTGAGATATATGATGAACTCCACAGGTCTGGTGTGTTTAAGGTACATATAGGTACAGGATAGCCGGAATTGCCAAATGAGGGGCGTGTTTAAATGGACAAATAAATATGTATATACATATATATATATATATATATATATATAATAAACCGGAATTGCCCCAATGGGGAGGGGGGGGGGGCGGGGCGTGTTTAAGGTATATGACAAAGCGGAATCGCGCAAGTTGGGGGGGGGCGTGTTTAATATATATGATGAACCGGAATCGCCAAATGAAAGGCGTTTTTCAAATGATATAGTATACCATCTGTATAATACTGACCACATTCCCCAAATTTCAATAGAGGGGACGTGTAAAGATATATGATGAACCGGAATCTGCTTCCTTGGGAAAGGCGTGTTAAAGATACCTGATGAGTCGGAATCGCCAAATTAGGGGGCGTGTGCAAGAGACCATGAATCGGAATCGCCAAACCACGGGTAGTTTTTAAGACGATATGATGAAACGGAATCGGCAAATGAGGGGCGTGTTTAAGATACATGCCACACCGGAATCGCACAATAGGGGGGGGGGCTTAGGATATATGATGAACCCCACTGGTCTGGCGTGTTTAAGGTATATGATAACCGGAATCACCAAATCGCCAAATGAGGGGCGTGTGTTTTGAAGATATATGATAAACCGGAATCGCCCAATGCAGGGACATGTGTAAGATGTATGATGAATCCCACTGGTCATGCGTGTTGAATGCATATGATATCCGGAAATGAGGGGCGTGTTTCAACATCTATGATAAACCGGAATCGCTATGTTTAAGATATAACATGAACCGATGAGCCCCACTGGTCTTGCGCGTTTAAAGTATATGATAACCGGAATCGCCGAATGAGGTGGCGTATTTAAATATGTATGATAAACCGGATGGTGCGTTTAAGATATATGATGAACCCCACTGGCCCGGCGTGTTTAAGGCATCTGATGACCGGCATCGCCAAATGAGGGGGCGTGTTTAAGATTTTATTTTGGTTGCTTTAAGTGTGCAATGGTTACGGTACTGATTGTCTGTTGAATTTTATAAGCTGATCCCTAAATCGAAAGAAAAGGCGCAGCTATAACCCAGTGATCAGCTCGAAAACGTGGTAGGTCCCATCAAGGCTATAGGATAATCAACCCGAGTGGCCCATGAGGATGCAGTGTTTAAGACTGAGAGGGGAACGTGTTTAAGATATATGATGCACCGGAATCACCAAATGAGGGGGAGTGTTTACGAAATATTCCGAACCGGAAGCGCATGTTTTATGGGTCGTTCTTGGTTACAGGATTTTGTTGTTTTTCTAATGTTTGTATGGTTATTGTCATTGTCTATTGCTGACTGCCTGTTGGGTTTTCGGGTTAATATCCAAAGCAAACGAAAAGAGGCGCAGATAAGCGTTAAAAAGACGCAAATAACGATAACCCAAGAAACAAAGACGCAGATTACCACTTCTCCTTGTATCCAATCGTGTTTGCTTTGATCCTGCTTTCGAGATTCCTGAGCTTCGTCAATTTAGCCGCTAGCCAGGATCGTTTACCGAGACATGAAGCCTGAGAACCTGCTACTTACAGAAGAGGGCAGGGTGAAACTGGCAGACATGGGCATCGCGAAATTCATCGGCCACTTGAGTGCAATCTAGCCTTGCAGCTTTTACTGTATGCATCGCTGAAGGGATGACGGAAGCTGCTTGATCAATCGTTGGCCTACGTTGGCAACCCAGGCAACCACAAGACCTACACGATGGTCGGCACACCTGATTATTTGGCCCCGGAAACCATCAGAGGTGTCGGACAAGCCTACGGGGTCGATTGGTGGACGCTGGGAGTACTTTGTTTCGAGCTCCTCGCAGGCAGCACCCAACATGTGCCGCGTGAATGAAACAACACGAAACCAAGCTTCTGCCAGGTGACGCTCCATTTCATGCGAGATGTACCCGGCAGATTCATGCCAAGGCTGAGGGTGCAAGTCGCAAACTACTATTGATGAAACCAGCAAGTAGCTAGCCGTGCGTGTCTGTGTGTGTGTTTGTGTTATTCTGCTGTACATGCGACAAACCTTGCAGGGGGCAGAGGTTCAAATTTCACGGCCTTTGCAGTGAAGTTCCGTGGATTAGAACGGTAAGCGTACCTGCAGAGACGCACCTGGATGGCTGAGTCCGTAGCTGGTGGTCAAAAGTCTGCATGATGTTGCAGTTTCGCTGTCATGTTACATGTCATGTTCTGACTGCATGTTTGCGGAACATTTGCTCAGTCTTTTCGGCTACATGGACTTGAGACCGAACTCAGCCTGTTCTGGCACCACCGCTGGGTCCAAGTATCACTTGGCCGAAGCAACTCGACCACTGCCCTACCCATACTATTTAGACGAACAGTTCGGCCTGCACATCAGACGCAGGCAGATCAGATTCTGCTTGGCATGTACGCAAGAGTAAAATTTGGAGGAGAGTTGCACAAATCGACTACCGCCCTACCCATACCATTCAGACGAACAGTTCGGCCTGCACATCAGACGCAGGTAGATCTGATTCTGCTTGGCAGGCACTTAGATTCTCCTTGGCATGTATGCACGAGTACAATCTCGAGGACAGTTACGATTCACTAGCAATACGTACACAGGTTTTTTCGGTATTACACGACTGTTGCTTCGAATGCTACAGTTCTCGCCGCGCTTTACGGATATTGCACGCACCAGTATTCAGATCCATCGCAATGTGCGCGATTGGACTGGCCTGATGAGTTTTAGGCTAGCCGACGCAGATGCACAGTTCGGCCTGCACATCAGACGCATGTGTGCAGGAGTGCGATCTCGCGCCAAATTTATCTCTTTGTTTATTTTTGTTTCTCTTGGGTTTGCTGGAAGGTCGAGGTCGGAAGGTCAAGGTGAAGGTTTCGTTTGGATTTAAACCAGTATAAGTATCTGCTCTTTTGTGTATAGGATCACCTGGTAGGCGCACCTACAGGGGCCCCGAGCCGGACCCGTCAGCCCTGGTACACACTCACTGACTCACACTTTCGCTCGCATTCGCTCACTCGCTCACTCACTCGCTGGCTCCCTCATTCACCCTCTCGCTCACTCACTCACTCACTCAGTCAGTCTGTTGAATGAGCCCCTAATGTACATGATGCATTTGTGAGTGCAACAATGCCATTCTGGCATTGGCTCAAGACTGGACGACTGCTTGGTCGCGCAAGAAATGCCTGAGTGTGTGACTGTGGAGAAAATGATTGATCTCCGGTAGGTTGCACGTAACTGTCTAGATAGTACACTGGAATTTTGCATGGTAGTGGAGCTTCGGCTGTGGAACCAGGGAAGAGTGAGAAAGAATGAATTTCGAAGTGAGAGGAATTGGTGGTGAAATCAATCTGTTTCCTCCCCGAGTGTATCATGGAGGGTTGGAGAAAAGGGACGGCTGGTCGTGGCAGCTGAAGCGATATGTTGGACTGTACAAGCCCCCGGCCAAGACGCTGATGGATGAGATTGAGAAGAATGCGCACAAGGTTGTCACTGCGCTGCTTCGATGAGACTGCGAATTCTGAGCCACCCGTCTTCGTGTTGAGACGTCGCAGCCGGAATGAAGCAGCAAGGAAGTTTCAAGCTTCCAATGCTCACAAGAAAATGAAGCTTGAGCACTACTCCAACAGGCAGTTCACTGACCACATCAGCATGCAGAATGGTTACGTCGAGGAGAATGCCGCGGAGAATGCCACCAAGCGCTGGATCTGGACTGTGCCAGATGAGGCTTCACTGCAGAGCATGGGCATCATCACAATGCCCGCGAATGATCCAATGAGGTTCGCCTCAGCTGCTGTGCCTTGAGGAAATATCCGGGTGGAACCGGTTGGCCACCGCTCGCAACAGTGGCCTGATCGAATGGCGACGGATGGGACACAAAATGGCCCCTGTGGTTCAGGCCTTTGGATCCGGACTGGATCACGACTGCTCCACCTGGGATGAACTGTACGACGACGATGATGGTGAGCACGCGAATGCTTGGAATGGCCCGGTTTCCTCGACTGCGGCAATGGCATCCAAGAAGCCGATGGGAATGTCTTCCACAGGCTCGGCGACTGTTCTCTCCCAAGTCGCGAATGCCTTGAATCGTGTTGCGCATGAATGCCAACAACATGACTGCCGTCGAGAAGTGATTGGCACTGAGCAGCATTGTAATTAAGGAGTGCTTGACCGAATGCCGCATGTTTTTGGAATGTGAAGTCTATGTTGCAGTGTTGAATGGGTTTCTTCCGCGGATTGCAGAGAATGAAGTTCATGAACCGAGTTCTTCAGCGGATTGCCGAGAATGAGGTTCTTGCATCCAATGTTGTATGCATCATGACCCGACTGTGAGCACATCGACTGTACAGTGCAGTGCGCCTCCCCTTTTGCGAATGACTCGGATGATGTTTTCCCGTTCGAGCAAAAGTCCTGAATGAGCCGAATGTTGTCTTTCCGTTTTCTTTCGAAAGTTTGTACCTACTGCGCAATGTTGTTGCGATTGGGTCGTGAGTTGAATTAGTTTCGACTGAAGTCAAGATCAAGGGCTGTGTTAAATGACACGACCCAAATGGGCCCCTAATGCATATGATGCATTTGTAGATGCAACAATGCCGAATAGCATTGGCTCAAGACTGGACGACTGCTTGGTCGCACAAAGGAATGCCTGAGTGTGTGAGTGTGGGGAAAGTGATTGATCTCCGGTAGGTTGCTCGTAACTGTCTAGATTGTACACCGGAATTTTGCACACTCACTCACTCACTCACTTGTTTTCATGTATATACTCTCTGCCAAACGAAAACTTCGCATGTGGGGTTATCCGGTCCTTGAATTCAAAATTTCCGCCTCCGCTGCTGGAGCAGAGGGTCCGCAATGTTGACATATCGTGTCGATTCGTGCTTGCGAACTGCAGACGTTGAGCATCCTCCACGTCGTTACCTGCGCAGGTCCTCGTTGGAATCAATAAAGTCACCTTCCCACCTCCGTGCAAAGGAGCCGTGCCTTGACTGAAGCAGTGTTCCGTCAGAGTTGTCGAACTTGATGATGCTAACGCCATTTCACCATCAAA